GGAAAAAACGGAAGGGTTTGGCAGGCAAGTAGCTAGTTGATTTAGACGATTTGTCACTCTGAAATATGATAAAATTTAAATTACTGAGAGAGGTCTGGCAAAGAGACATAGCACAGTGAAGATGCACATTTGATGAGGCTAAGATTTTGGAAAAATTTTATTTCAATCAAATGGCTGGCAGATAAAATTAAAATTAATTATTTACAGGGCCGTATGAATAAAAACTAAGCAATTGTTTTTTTCTTAAAATTTCAAAGCTTTTACTTAAATTTTTAGAGCAACAGAAGCCAAATCAACAATTTTTAGAAATTTTGTCTGTCTGTTTGAGAGTTGCCACCTGTTTGAAAATTTCGGCTTACGTAAATTGATAAGATATAGTAATTATAGTAATGTTTGTAGCTGTCAAAAGAAAGAGGTTTAAGAAGACTTGAAGTTGAAAATATTTTGTTGGAAGGTTGCCACCTGTTTGAAAACTTTAATTTAATTTAATTGATAAGATAACCTAAATATTGCAATATGGGTATCAAATGAAGAGGTTTAGAAAAGTTTACTGCCTTTGAGGAGGGTTGCCACCTGTTTGTAAAATGTATGAAAAATAAGGTAAATATTGAATTGATACACCTTTAAGGAATGTGCGCGATATATAGACTCGAGTTATAAGTATATAAATAAAATTTCCAAATTTCTAAATATCTACCTTGGAAAGTATATTAACTAACACCCATATTCATAAAAAATAAAGAATGCTACATACACAGAAAATTGGTTCGAAAATCTCACTTCATAAAGCTTTTTAAATCTATTTTATTTTTTATGAATGTTGCCATAAGAGTTTTGGGAGGGAGTAAAAACCCAAAAATACTTTTAAAACGCAGTGAGCACGTCAAGTATTTGCTAAATAATAAATAAAATGTTAAAATACCAAAGTAGCGGTACGTCTGACGGCGCCACCTTTGTTCGTGGCATCGTGCCTACCAACAAACCTTCAATAGTTCTAGTGTTCCTGAAAAGAAAACAGAAAGTTTCGCAAAATTACGCCGAAAAAACATTTATTTCAAAAAAGTCGAAAAGTAAAATTTTTGAAAAAAAAATTAAAACTAAGACTGTTCTGAGTAGCTTTTCAAAAGTTCTAGAGTTTCCAAGAAGGAAAAGGAAAGTTCTGCAAAATTACGCCGAAAAAAAATTTATTTCAAAAAAGTCGAGAAAAAGTTGAAAAAAAATTTTAAATAAAACTGTTCTGAGTAGCTATTCAAAAATTCTAGAGTTCCTGAGAAGGAAAAAGAAGGTTCTGCAAAATTACGCCGAAAAATGAATTTTTTCATAAATCTCAAAAAAGTAAAACTTTTGAAAAAAAAATTAAAATTAAAACTGTTCTGAGTAGCTTTTCAATAATTCTAGAGTTCCTGAGGAGGAAAAAGAAAGTTCTGTAAAATTACGCCCCAAAATCATTTATAAATCTCGAAAAAGTTAAATTTTTGAGAGAGATAAAAATTAAAACTGTTCTGAGTACTTTTCAATAATTCTAGAGTTCCTGAGAAGGAAAAAGAATATTCCGCAAAATCAGGACGAAAAAATATTTGTTTCAAAAAACTCGAAAAAGTAAAATTTTTGCAAAAAAAATTTATTTACCCTTTTGTCACATGTGAATCTGGCATACTACATAAATTTTTGAAACTGTTTTTTTTTTCCTCTTCAAGAACAAATTCAAATTTGCACTGAAACCTTGATTACTAAGAAAGCGAGTGGACATAAACGCCGTAGATATTAAAGTGTTTGGCCGATGTTGACAGTTCGCCATTTTCTTTACTTGGTGTAAAAGCAGCAAATAGATGATATTCGGAAACCTCTAGATACGGATCAATGAAATTATATTCCCAATCGCCTAATTTTATGCAATATGTTAAATTATTCCGTGTAAAAGCAGGAAAGAGATTTTCGGAATCCTCTGCATACAAATAAATTAAATTATATTCAATATGTTCAATTATTCCGATCATACGCAAACTAGTTATTCATACAATTCATTTAAAATGGAATAAATGACTTATCATAAAGTCTGCCGTTATTTCACCATCGATTACATGTAAATATAATTTAGAATGAATCATGCCTTTGTTGCGAGAAAAAGCGACGTTGATTTATCGGAAGCTGCCACCATTTACGATGCCAAGACGCAGATTGAGGGCAAGCGAGCAAGGAAAAATAAAAATATAATAGCAGAAACATGGGCGTAGCCAGAACGAAATTTAGGGGGGGTTACCGCCAAAGCGATTTTGGCCGAGTTCAATAAAGCACGCCAGTCGCGAACGCGTAAAGGCCCGTAAATCTTGCGCACAATCTTTCACTCGAATACTCCAGCAGCCACCTCATCATCCATGCTTCTGCGCCATATACCAGCACGAGCATGATGAGTGACTTATAGAGTGTGGTTTTAGTAATTCGAAAGAGGACTTTACTCCTAAATTGGGATACTTCGTCTTGTCCTCGTTTACCACCAAACCTATTCGCTTTGCTTCCTTGTCCAACTTGGAAAAGGCAGAATAGACTTCGCGGTTACCGATGATTTCAGTGTCAGCCAGCAATTGTACGCTCTTGTAGTAAATTGTTCCTGAGTGGTTCACTTCTCCAACATCAGATTAAAAAAGTCACATGAAAGCAAGTCACCCTCTCTGAAAATCTGTTTGGTGGCGTTTCTGGAGAACGTAATTTTACACAGCCGTATGAGCCTTTTAGTGCTGTTGGTAACGCCTTTAAAGTCGACAAATAGGTGGTGACTGTCCATCCTTTTCTCACGGCTCTTTTACAAGATGTGGCGTATTGTGAATACTTGGTCTATGATGGATTTGCTGGTCTAGAACCTTACTGATAAGGCCCAATCAGTTCATTGATGGTGGTATTCAATATTTCACACAATACATTCGATAAGACCTTGCAACCTATGCTTAGAAGGCTGATCCTGCGGTAGTTGGCACGCATGGTGGGGTCGCCTTTCTTGTGGATTGGGCAGAGCGCACTTGAATTCCAGTTGTCGGGCTTGCATCTTATTAGCTCCTTGCCACCGTAATTGAATAGCTCAGCTGACAGGCAGTCAGCTCAAGCAGCTTTGTTACTTTTCATCAGCATAAGCACTATTCGTACCTTGTCATAGTCAGGCGCTGGAATATCGACTCCATCGGCATCGAATGGGGACTCGGGTTCGTCTTCTGCACTCCTCCAAAGGGTCGAAAAGTGCTCCCTCCACAATTGAGTACGTTCTGGACATCGGTCACTAGGTCGCCTTGGTTGTTCCTACAGGAGTCTTGAAACCTTCCGTAAGTTGCTCAACTCTCTGCTAAAAATTTCGGGTGTTTTGACGTAAAATAAGTCTTACGTTTCGATATGTAGCTGCAATATTTAGCACTTTACGAAAACGCTTAGTGCTTGAGAAATAGTGAAGTTTGAAGAACAAAGTGCGGTGTTTTAGAGATATAATTCCAAACTTATCGACAAATTCATTTTTGTAAGCAACCAATTCGGTTTCTGTCGTAGAAACAACGTTAAATATTGTCTTATTTTGGGGTCAATTTTGTGCCTTTAATGTGCTCTAGCAACTTGCGATTTGCAGGTTAAACTTTCATTTTTGGGATATAGGTTCTTTGGGGCAATATAAATATTATCGTCTACAAATTTTGTAAAAGTTCAACAAATATTGAGCATTTTAATGCTTGAAAGCCGCTCGAATGATTTTCTTTTTGTTTTCCTACTAAAACATTCAAGGATTTTCCTTTCATTGGGTATACGGGAAGTATTGGTTGATTTCTTCTTAGTATGTTTATTTGATTCAAATATATGGGCATAAATAATTTTCCATACAAAATCACTTCGTCCTCATTTTGCAAACACGTGCATGCGCTGGGAGAAGTGAGAGAAGGAGACAAAAAGTATGTGGGTGTAGGTATTTCGGCTTTTGAATAACAGATGGCGCAATATTTATAAAAGGCAAAGGCGAAGGGGAATATGTCGATGAGGACTATGATACACATAAAAGTAAAAACAAATATAAATATAAAAAAAGGAATGTGAGAATGAGGATACCGATAAAATTAAAGATGATGATAGAGGAAGAAAGATTAAAATAAAGGTAATTTTAGAGAAAAGGATATAGACAGAGATTCGGGATTTTAGAGCTTTTCGGAATTCTCGGGTCTTATCGATATAATAATCGATATTTTATCGGTCTTGTTATCGATATTTTTCATCGATTTTGTTATCGAAATTTTTATCGATATTGTTATTGATTTTGCTATGGATGTTTTCGAAACCTATCGATATAATAAACGATATTTTTTATCGATTTTGTTATAGATTTTGTAATCGATTTTGTTATCGCTATTTTTATCGATTTTGTTATCGATTTTGATATCAATTTTGCTATCGATATTGCTATCGATTTTGTTATCGATATTTTTACCGATTTTGTTATCTTTAAAACAGATTTTTTATCGATATTTTTGTTCTTAGTGTGTGCTTTCGTTTTTGACTTCGATGTGCTCTTAACAATACCACGTATTCTACGTTTAAATTTAGCAGCTGTGTCTCCGATACAGCCTGCAGACCAGGACGCTCTAAGCTAAGAGAGCCTTGGATGCCTCGTCCTTCTCTTCCAACGGGACATTGGCACATATGAGCGAGATGTTGAAGAATCTCTCTTTGATGCGTACTGTGGCTAGACAGACGCTCGACCGCTAGAGTGAACTGTAGTAGACGTCGCCAGGCATCACGCTTACCTGGCTACGCGCATACCTAGCTACGCCCATGAGCAAAAATCATACAAGAATTCTGTTGAGTTAAACATTCATTCAAAAAATAAACATATTATTGATGTACATAAATAGCCAGAGATAGTTTTTAAATTTATTGACGATATTTGAGTTGTTGACAAATTTTCTTGTATATGTTTAGCCCAATAAGCAAAGCTGATATTCAATTTAATTTTTTTTTTATTCTTATTTTCATTTCAGCTAAAATTCGCGTGTTGTTCTCGGCTATGCAAACAGCTTAAACCAGGCCACACCACCAGCGACCACACGCAACAAATGCCGGCAGGAAAAGGTGTCTCCACTTCTAGCTTGATTGAGATTTTCGACTGGATGCTTGACAAGCTGCTGTGCGCCGGTCACTGGTACATTTCAACGCCCAGAGAATGTGCTCCATTTTTCATAATCGCATAAATTATCGCGGCCTACGCAGCAATTCGAGTGGCAGCAATAGTAGTAGCGGTAGCAGCGGCGGCCGCGGCAGTGGCAGTAACATCAGCGCCAGCATTAGCAACTCAACCAAAGAACTGGACGCCGATCGCAACAATAATGGCGGAGGCGTGGCGGCGAACAACAATGAGCTCAACGGCGGAGAGGTGACATATCAGCACGATGGCAAAACGGAGCAAGCATTACCTGTGGTGAAAAGCGCCACCTCCACACCGGATAGCGCCGCAGATGAGAACATCGATCCACAGTGCAATATGCGACTAGGGAGCGACGAGTTGACTGAGCGGCGTAGTAGCGAAGAGCAGGACGATGACGATGGTGAAGAAGAGCTCGAAGCGACAGGCGATAGCAATGAAGCGTTGGATTTGTCAGTGCTGCCGGGCAATCGATTGCCGGCTAGTGGACATGTGGCATTGGAGGCTTTACAACACACCAAAGTGGCAGTGGCACAATTCGCCGCCTCAGCGCTAAGTGGCGCACATAATTATGGCGAAGCGATGAACGAGTTGGCAATGGTGCAGTCGACGATATTGAATGTGCAGCGACAACATCTGATGCAATTACAGCTTATACAGCACCTGCAGAGTCAGCTGAAGCGCGCCAGTGATCTAACCGAAGACACCGATGAACAGCCGGATGAGCAGCAGGCTGAGGAGATAGAGTCGCAGCACTCCGAGCCTAAGAAACGGCTGTTGCAGTCGCCACCAGAAGCGCCGACGGCAGCGGAGGAGCAGCGCAGTGAGGGCGTGGTGCAAGCAAGCGTGGAGCGCAAGCGGCAGACGGACAATTCAAGCCCGAGTAGTGAAAAGGCAGATGTCGGCACGCGGCCAATGCCTGCGTCAAATGAGGAGAATACAAAGACTGAAGAATCAATAAGTGCAATCGGCGGATTAGGCGTGGTTGAGCTGAGGAAGAATGCTAAGTTAGAGAAGCATGCCATAGGCAGTGCAGGTCATGATGCGGGGGTCACACTGCTGCCTAGCACCAGTATCAGCACCAGCACCAGCGCCAGCGCCAGCACCAGCGCCAGCAGCAATAGCAATTACAATAATTACCAGCCCTTGATGTGTGACATTAGCTCGTCGCTCGCCTCTAGCATTATAACCAATCACGACCCGCCACCAGCGCCCAATGAGCCCAACTGCTTGGAGATGCTGCAACGTCGCACGGAAGAGGTGCTTGACTCGGCCTCGCAGAGTCTACATGCCTCACATCTGCAGGACGAGTATGAGTACGCGCAGAAGGATGCGCAGGGCAGAGGTGAAATATTCAAACATCGCTGCAAGTATTGTGGTAAGATTTTCGGCTCCTTTTCGGCGCTGCAGATTCATCTGCGTTCACATACTGGCGAGCGGCCGTTCCACTGCAACGTCTGCGGCAGTAAGTTTACAACAAAAGGCAATCTCAAGGTGCACTATCAACGGCATACGCAAATCTTTCCGCCGATGCTACTGGCGCCTGGTCCGGGTGGCACTGTAGTGGAACATTATCCAACATACGGCGCGCCTGTAGCCGTTAGTGGGCCACTGATGCCAGCAGGTGTGGCGCCAGTCCGATTACACGCCGCAAGCGAGCCGAAGCCAGTAGGTGGTGAGGAGTCGGTGCTGTGCGCACAAAAAGAAAAACACGAGGAGCTGCCGCGCCAGCCAACACCGAAGCCTGCCATCACACGACCCGAAGCGGCAAACTCCCCCGCCGAGGCGCCGCAAGACCTAAGCAAGCCACATCACTCACCTGTCAGACAAGAAGCTCCCATAACTACTGAATCTAGCTTGTCGCCAAAGCTGCCACCAGTAGTAAAGCAAGTGACAGAGAGTAAATTGGATAAACCAGAGCGTCCACCAAGTCAACACCACCACCACCCGCCACATCCACATCCACATCATACGCCGAAACGCAGTAGTAGTTCACGTAAACGCAGCTCCCGCGCCAACACGCCGCATGCCAGCGCCAGCAGTGAGTCACGCAAGTCGCATGCACACGAAGAGCGTGAGCGCGAACGGCTGATGGAAAGCGGCGGCGAATTCACGCCCAAGTCCGCATCGTCGCTACGCCGCTCGTCGCTGAGTCGTAACTCAAGCAACAGCGGACTCGAGCCGCACATCTCCTCCGAATACTCGCTGGCGCAAATGGAACGCATTATCGACAAGTCGTGGGAGGATCTGATCGAGATCGACACAACCTCGGAGACGTCGAAGCTGCAGCAGCTCGTCGACAACATCGAGAATAAGTTGACCGATCCGAATCAGTGCATCTTCTGCCACAAAGTGATGTCCTGCCGCAGCTCGCTACAAATGCACATACGCACGCATACCGGCGAGCGTCCATTTCGTTGTAAAATCTGCGGACGTGCCTTCGCCACCAAGGGGAACCTGAAGGCGCACATGAGCATACACAAAATCAAGCCGCCAATGCGTAGTCAATTCAAGTGCCCCGTCTGCCATCAGAAGTTCTCGAATGGCGTCATACTCCAACAACACATACGCATACACACCATAGACGATGGAAGTGGCGCGCTGGGCGGCTTGCCTGGTGTCGCGCTGAATGGTAGCGTGCTCGGCGCATTTTCGCTACCGCTGGGTACATTACCCGGCTCCGTTGGTGCGGCAGAAGCGATAGCGGAGCATAATGCACGAATGAAGGCGCATATGGATGCGGCAATTGAGGACCAGAATTCGAATAAGTCAATGGGCACCTCGGATAACTTCGATTTCTCGACAACCTCCGATTATTCGGGTCAACGTTCGGAGTCATCGCAGGGCGATTACGACGATTTCATGACCATGGATAGCACGGATGATTCGCGTGAGAACACAAATTCGATGACGCCCTTCGATCGACGGCTGGCCGATGAGTATGCGGATGAGCGTGTGCTTGACGCTGATGGCGAACGAGGCGAGTGTGGTGGTGAATTGCCAAACCCTGTGGCGGCTATGGCCGCTGCGGCTGCGATGGATCTCTCGGCGCGCGGTTTTCCTGCGAATGGCGTGTCACAGAAAGCATTGGAACATCTGCCTATGTTGGGTATGTCACCGAACTTCCTGCTGATGGCGGCAGCGCGCGAGGAGATGCAAATGTTGGGCGCGCAAGCAAAGTTTCCGCTGTTGCCTTTTGGACCGCTTGGATTTATGGGTAAGTGAGAGGAAGGTCGACGAGGGTGTGAGGGTAGCATAAATGAAGAGTTTACTATGGGCGAAAGAAGAAGAAGCATTGCATATTTAATGCGTAATTGACGAGTGTAAAAACGCAAAAAGTCAAAACATTTAATTTCAATGCCATTGCTCGATTCGCTTGCAAAGATATAAAGCGCTTTGTAGTCAAAGAAGGTCAGTCGGCGCTGAACTGCCGCTGTCGTAGAACAAGGAAAAGCAGTGTTCTTAATTAATGAGCGCGCGCGCACTTAATTCTATAGACTTCTGCGACTTCCTTCTTCCACTTCTATTAAAGAAATATATTTGCTTGTGGTATCCAACATCTTCCTCTTATAATCCGCTCTGTGGTTCACGCTGTCACTTCATTTCATTTCGATTGTACTTCGCTTTGCCGCCGCTAGCTCGTATTTCTTGTCAATGTGTCATTTAGGCGCTCATGTCACATCTGCGCGAAAATGACAAAGACTTTTCGTCTGTGTCCTCTGACCTTGTCAGCGGCGCGCTCGCTCAGCAAGTGCCTAGTCTAGTTCTTTTCCGCGCGCTTTTCTGGCATAATTCGATTTATGGTCGCGCGCAAATAGCTTTGTGTGCAGGAAATCACTTTATTGTGCGAAGAGAAAGAGCGCGTGAAAGTGCGTAGTGGCGCGGTAGAAGAAGGGGTGCGTTCGCAGCTCGCCCAGCTACGTTAGTTAGCGCTGACGCATGATGAATCAATCGCTGCTTGCTGCATTGCCGCTATTTCGATTTCTTGTTTTCTTTTTTCATTTAACCAAACTAAGAAGAATCATGCAAGATCTGTTGCTAAAGTGTAGGGCTATATTAAATTTAAATATAAATAAGAACATATGTACCAGTATATACTAGGCGTGTAAGCATTCGCACGCTCATCCCATTTCCAATTGTTGCCTTGGTGGTTTGTTGTATTTGCCAGATTCCATGTCACTACTCTTTTTTGTTGAAAAAAATTTATGATCATTGAAATTATATTGATGGTAAAATTATATGTAGCTTAAGAAATCTTCAATTGAAAAAATACTATGCTGCCTTTGGTAATTTAAGTGAAAATTAACAGCACTGGAGTATGGAAACATTTTTCATGGTGAAGAAAATTATATAGCTACATAAATTGTTCAAAATAGTTACTCGCCTTTTAATGCCTCTGGTAACCAATACTATTGGCGCGGAGTGGTAATTATTTACGAAAAAGCGCACAGACCGATCTATTGGCCGTTGTAGCCATCAAAATTGAACTTTTCGCCGAAGAAATCTGCCATTTTCTAGCTGTTCTTCCCAGGCATGGGAGTGGCACAAAATTCCAGTCATGATTTTCAACGTTGTATAGTGACCACACACAACTTTGGACCACGCTAACCGATTTCGATAATTTTTCATCGGGAATGTGGTACCCAAGGGTGGTCCCATACTATTACAAAAAATTAACGATAATCTTAAGTTTTTTTATATGAGCATTGAAGTCAGTTTTGTTTTTTGCTTAAAAATTACTTGTTCATTTATCACATTTCTCCTCTCCGCTCAGGTTTACATCCGCAAACGCATTTGTGTAATGTCTGCTTCAAGATATTCCCCAATCCAGCGGCACTGGAGCGCCACGCACAAAGCGAACATACCAAAGATGTTGCTAATAATATAATAACAACAGAAGCACAAACGATAGCAACCACTTCAGCGATTACAATAACATCTGCCAGCAACAACAGCAGCAGCAACAGCAACAATAGCAACAAAAGCGAAACAGCGGCGACAAGTGGCGTTGTTACAGCAAATAATACAAGCCATTCTACGAATTGTGATAGAACATCACCGTACAATGCGAAGGTAAGTGTGGGTAAATGTGGCTAGAAATGGAGCTGGGGAGCAACAACATAATTACAATACATAGTACATACTATTAATGCGTGTGCAAGTATGTGTGTCAGGTTATTATGTTAAGGTGTATGGAGCCGAGTGCAATTGGGGTCCAACTAATGTAACTAATAAATTTCGCAATATTTCATACTAATTACACCCAAGATATTCTACATATATGTATGTAAAGTTATAATGATTTAGCTACTTACGCAATATGTGTGTGCATATGCATATGGCCTTATAGACGCAATGGTTTTGGCTTTATTACAATACGTTTGCATTCATTCGCATATAATTCATGTGAATATTAACAAATGACAGCTGACATCAAGCCGGCCTAACGTCATTATTTCTAAGCATATTTGTACTCCGGCCAACTCTATTGCCGAAATTTTTTTTGTGCATCATGAAAATTTTTTTCTGCTTTTTGCTTCACACATACATAATAAACTTTAATTAAAATGTTTTATTCGCCATGTAGAAATACACAAGAGGGGTTTGGCGTTGAGAGAATTGGGCCGAATGAAGACTTTATCACAGAACACAAACATCTAGAGCCCTGAGGAAACTTATTATTTGAAAAGCATTGAGCTAAAAGAGGAGAATATTAAGCACTTTTATATCGCAAAAATTTAAAAGTTATTGTTATTGTAAATTTGTAATTAAAAACAAGTAAGTGCACTAATATATGTACGTATGTACATATATACATACATACATACATACATCTGCTTTTGCCTAAGGTTATATTTTTTCTCTTTTTAACCGACTTCCAAAAAAGGAGGAGGTTATCAGTTCGTCGGAATATTTTTTTTATTTTTTATTTATTTTATTTTTTTATGTATGTTACCGCATAACTTTGGACCACGTCAACCGATTTTGCATCGGAAAGGTAGTGCCTCAGAGGTGGTCCCATGAGATATATATATATATATATATATATATATATATATATATATATATATATATATATATATATATGTATATATATTTTTTTATATGAGAGTTGAAGTCGGTTTTTTTTGCTAAAAATTACTTGTTTCTATTTAGATCCCTACCTCTACCCCTGTTCGTTCTAGTATTATTATATTATTATTCTGTTTTCCTTTATCTTCATTTTTATCTTTATACTCTATCGATAACAAAATATCGATCAAAATACCTGTGAAAAATTCCTTACACATTTCGATAACGAAATCGATAAATAATTGATAACAAAAACGATAAAAAAACCAATAAATATTCGATAGAAAAGTCGATAACAATATCGATAAAAATAGCGATAACAAATTCGATAAAAATATTGATAACAAAATCGATAAATAATCGACAACAAAACCGGTAAATAATTGATCAAAAAATCGATAAGTAATCCAAAACAAAATCGATAACAATATCGATAACAAAATCGATAAACAATCGATAATAAAATCTATAGTAAAGTCTATAAAAATATCGATAAAAAAACCCAAAAAATTTCGACTACAACAATATCGTTTAAAATATCGGTTAAAAAATCGATAACAAAATCGAAAAATATTTGCATTGCAAAATCGATAAAAATATCGCTTATCATATCGGCAAGTTCTTAAAATATCGATAGCAAAACCGATAAAAATATTGAGAATTATACCGCTAGGTCCCAAAAATCTCGAAAATCTCTAAAATTCCAAAACAGTTCCCAGATTGAGTCTCTATCTATATCTTTTGTCTATAAATACCTTTATTTTAATCATTCTTCCTCTATCTTCATCTTTACTTTTTTTCGGTATCCTTATCCTCATCTTTTTCTTTATATTTATCTTTGTTTTACTTTTATTTTTCTTTGTTTTTGATTTTATTTTTACCTTTGCCTTTATCCTTTTCTTTATCTATGTACGTACGCACCTTGGCTTTCATTCTTGTATTGCCTTTTTCTGAGTGTTATTCATTAACCTTTTATTAACAAGTTCTTGTTAAATTAATACCATGTGCATACACTCAAGAAGCACTTGTTTCAGCCCCAACCATTTCCGATGCACCATTTCCGTGTGCAATTTCCGTCGAATTTGCCAGTTTACTCCCATCCAACCAGTTGTAGTAGTAGTTTTTTGTGCGGAATATGAAAATTTTTGTGTGGAAATTGGTTCTGTATACATACATACATACATACCGTTACCTTAATTCACAAAATCCCGAAAAATCATTTTTTTTTATTTTACGGGAGAAGTAAGAAACATTACAAAAAGAGTATCAAAAACAGGTAGGTCGTTTTAAAAAGTGGCATGTAACTCCGTTGTTTTTAGTAATAATACTTTAAAATTTGTATTGAAGGTGTACATACCAAAATCTATGAAAAACGCAGTTTCGAAAAAACAGTGTTGGTTAAAGTAACGATATGTTTAATTGTTTTGTGATTAAGACCAAACTCTTTTGTAATTACACAAACATACATATATGTATATGTACATACATACATACATGTGCATGTTGATATTCGCGTACGGGCTGGGAAAACACTTAGCTAGAATAAATAATTTTGAAATATATGTAATTCATTCAAAAAAACGCAAGAAATAAAATTAAAATGTCTAGGCACTTGCTCAGCGAACGGAGCGATGTACTATAGACTCATGGGTGCATTCCATGCAAAATCGGACATCATTTGCCTTTTACCTCTTGAGAGAGGCTTTCTAGATTTTTTTTACTTTTTGACGTCCGGCCGTTTACGAGATATCGATTTAAGAAAGTAAATATCCCTGCTTTTGAATGCTCATAACTTCAAAAAAGTGGGCTGATTTGGATCCCTTTTTATTATTATTTTTTTTTTTTCAAAACACTTTTGGAATATAAAATCGAAAAAATTTTCAACTATTCAGTATTTCTATAAAATTTTAAAATTTTTAGTTTAAAATGTTGATTTAAAAAAAATGCGTACTAACAGATTTTCTTGCAGATTTTTTCTAAAGTACTGTCACTCATTCCGCAACTTTTTATGCCTGGTACGATAATGGGACAAAAATGGGATATATTTTTCAGAAATTTTTAAAATTAGATGTTTCAGCTATCAGAGCGAAGTGTTAATAATAAGTTTTCTTTCAGGTCCACCAGCGATAGTTAATAGATATATCTGAATAAGTTAATGGATTAAGACCGTTTATTTTTATATTTTACTGATGCATTTTTGAAAAAAGCTGGCATAAATTATTTAAAGAATACAGTGTCGACAAGCAAATCGATCAGTATTTTTTTTTTGTTTTTTGGAAACTTTAGAAATGCGGTTTTAAAGTTTTTTTTTTTATTTTACATATATTCCAAAACTATTTTGAAAAGGAAAAAATAAAAAAGTTCCAAACGGCCTATTTTTCTCAAAGTTATGCGCATTTTGGAAAAAAGAAACGTTCACTACAAACAACATAAAAAATTAAGAACAAAACGGTGTCCGATTTGGCGTGCAATGTCCCGTACGTACATTAGGGTGGGCCACAAAAAACAGCTAAGTCGAAATTTTAATACTCTCAACCCCTTGGGATTGTTCTACGCCGAAAAATTACAGCCCTTTTTAATTTTTGAATCAAAAAATATCTGGAGGTCGTTTAAAGCGCTTAAAGTTTTCCATGTAAAATTTTATGTGGGGAAAAACAATTTTCCTATAAAAATAGTTAGTATTAAAAAGTGGTGAAATTAACAATTGGGTTTTATTATTGGAAGTCTGCTGGAGAGAAACATAGTTTTCCGATCAAAAATTTAATTTTTTAAGAATTTAAGAGTATACATATATTTTCTAATATGGCACAATTTTAGGAGGTGAGAGCATTGAAATTTGAACTTTAATTTTACACAAGTATTTTTGGACCACCCTAATGCACATGCATACATACATACATGGCTATTCGTGAACGCCGTTTTTGATTTATTATTTCGCATTTAAAATATTTACTTTGTGGCGAATCTTATTAATCAAAACAACTGACAGCAATTATTCAAAATGTTTGCAACCAAAAAATATAATTTTATATTACAACTAAATAGAAATGCATAGAGTTTTGCATTTCAACACAAAAATCCCTTGAAATATTTTAACTGTGACATATTTTTGTGTATAAATATGTACATAGATATGTACTCAAGCACTACAATTTTCGAATGAATCAACCAGAACTGAAATTTCTTATTACTTCTAGGCAGTAAATGAAAAAAAAAAATTATCTGCAATAAAAACTTTGCCAGATAAAAAATAACGAAAATGTGCAAAAATGTTCCTAGTTCCAAAGGGCACTTGCACTTAACAAAAATGTATGCAAAATTGTTTTGCTTTTACCATTTTACATAAGAAAAATGATATATTCATGATCATTTGTTGTAACAACACCATTTCGCAGACGAGTTCAAGGAGGGGCCGGAATGGGGGGCGAGGGGCGGGGCGATACAGAGAGTGTAAAAAGGTAGACACGCAGTGTAAAGTTTGTTGTAAGTATAAAAAGTTTTAATTGCATTTTAAATGGAGAACAATGCGAATGTTAATGTCGAGACGCCACATTATTGCAACAACAACAAGAAAAACAACACGCATCTTTGTGTTGGAACTAAAACAGGAACGTGGTTGCTACTTGCAATCAAGTACACAAATAGTAGGTATGTACAATGTATGTATGTTCATGCATATTTAATGCAATTGAAGCCAACAACAACAATGCAGCAATTCAGCTAGTGAAACACTTTATATGGCGTGTGGCAAGTACGAGTGAAAGTGATTTATTTGCATTGCACTCATAAATTCTTAAAATAAAAATGATGCTTTCACAACGAAACGTAACTATGAATAATGCGTAGCAAGTGTCGAGCGGGATGCAAGCGGGCGGGCGCAATTTTCATATTGTTTTAAGGATGAGACATCGTTTGTATTAATGGGGGGAAGAATTTAGTTGGCGCATAGCAAATAGAATGTGCTAAAGCATTGGAGGCAAAACAAAATATTTATTAAATTCAAATAAAGTGCGCCGCACGGTGTTCCATTTTGGAAAAAATTGAGAAAAATCAAATAAATCAAATTTAAAGATTTTGAGATGGATTATTTTGACTTTAATAAACAGCATCAAATATATGTACATAGAAGGTTTTAAATATTTTTATTTTTTATCTGAAATCAGTGTGCAATGTTTAAGAGTTTTAAATACATTTTTCTGTTGTTCTTGCTCCAAGGAATGCATTTCCGTCGTCCAAAGAATCGAAAACGCTTTTTACGCTCTGTTGAGGGTGATAATAAGTTCCCTTTGCTTAGGGCGAGATGCTATTTTTCTCTCTCTGAGGTCAGCCGATTTCTTATTTTTGAGCTTTCGTACGGCGAATTCGATTTCTTCTACTTCGACGAGTGTTGATTCTTCAGTCATTCGTCGTTATCTGAGAGTTGCACTGACTTTTCCTCCAACAGAGCTTGTAAATTTTAGCTAAGAGTTCTGCTTTGTGTGCTCCTTTTACTGATTTTTCGACTATAAGTCATTACTTACCCAAGTCAATTACCCCGAAATCGTTCACTATTTGTTGCGCCCGCCATTCTCTCTGTGACCAAATTTGTGTCGGGAATTACTTCCTCGCATTCAGGTCTTCGGGGATTTGGTTCTCGGCCAATGTGGGTAACTATTAATCGCAGCCACCAGATATGCCAAGCACTCGCCGTCCTGCGGAGTTAGTGCTTGAGATCCTCAATTCGATTGCCTCCGAAAGTCTTCTGTGCTGACACGTGTGTAACAATGTGAGTTGGCTAAATAGCGCAAAAGAGAATCCTCACCTTTCCATGACAGCTAGTGCATAGATATATTGCTTCCTGGGGGCAGCCATAGATAGATAGCTTTGTTAGATGATATGTATAGACCTTAGGTCTACTGTGCCGTCAGAGCATATCATAACACATCTTCCAGCCCTAGTGCTGTAATGCATCCAAACAGTTTCGAGAGCGATAGAGAGTGAATATCCGTAGCCTCTGGCCACATTATTCCCTGGTGTGGTAGCCTTCTTCTCGCAACCGCATCGCATTCTAAAAGGAAATGCAGTGGCGTGCCTATCATGGTGTACATCCACCTTTTGTGGCTTTTGTGACAGCGTTTTCAACGTGCTTTTTCCAAAAATACTTTGCAGTCGAAAATGACCCCCCGATATTTTAATTCGTTGCACATTTCTATCTCTATACCTCCAAGTGTTATAGGATGCATGCCTTGAAGGTTCTTTCTCTTAGTAAACGGGATGATTGCAGCTTTGGATGGGTTGATCTTAAGACCCACCGTACCACACCATCTTTTGGTAAGGACAACTGCTCTTTGCACAATGTCACAGAGGGTGTTTTAAAATTTTCCCTCGCCATGATTGCCTTGGCACACTATGCCATTCTTGGATAGTAACTAAAGTAATTCATCTACTTCTTAATATGCTCCATAGCAGAGGGGACAGTGCACCCTCTTCAGGGCAGATGATGACAGGCTGTATAAGTATGAGAATGGGTTTGCAATCAAACGGTTATTGTGGAGCATTATCTATGCCACTGTTCCGCTTTGGCGAGGGCTCGTCGAAGCTCGTTCCTCCACTATTCTTTTGAGTGTTTAGCTGAATTGGACTCTACGATTTTGTGCATTTCATTAGAGCTAAAAATTGGTTCCACATCTAAGGTAAGAGGAGAGACACAAGGAGGTTTTAATATGGCATCACAATGGGCCCATGGTGGTCTAAGTGACCCTTTTCCTGTAGGCAGCCAATACAACCTTACCTAACCTAGCCATGTTGCCGACAGTGTAACGGCAATGACATAAGGTTGGTAGTTATATGGTTGTTAAGAATTCTCTACGTTTAAAATTTCGTCTCCGAGTAGTCTTTTTTACCTATATTGAGTACGAATTTGACACTGAAGCTAATGTCTGAGTTATTTCTTCCGTCATCTCAGGTCAGGTGCTCAGATATTGACACAAAAAATGGCATGATTCGTTAGATCAGATTCCCGGTTTGTATAATCGACTTCTTTTGAACCAATTCTCGGTAAGAATTCCGAAGACTTTTGTTATTCTAGTGCAATTGCCCCATTGAGATATCGCACTGACTGACTGATATGCGAAGTTCTTAATCTAATAAGAACGTTGCTGAACATATAATCCAGTTCCAAACCGCGCAATTAATGACATTTTTATTCAGCTGCAATTTTTGGGCGCAAATTTTCATTTTCTAACCTCTCTCTACTTCCAGCTAACAGTTAGTACCAATCTTTTCGCTAAGCAAACCAGCAGCGAATCAGATAGAGAGCGAACACCAACGCATAACACATCGACAACAGATAATCAAAATAATATACCAAATTTTCACAGCGCCCACACAGTGGCGCGCAAAAGTCCAGCGGAGCAGGAGCATAACAGCGAGCCAACGCTACGCGACCGCATTAAACAAGAACCCGATGCAGAGGCTGAACTCGAGCCGCAACAGCTAAAAGGCGATCTTTCGAGATCCTCCCAAGCTATTGCATTAGCGAGCACTCCAACGCCGACTCTAACGCCATCACCGCTGCCCCCAACACCTACGTTATCTGTTGCAGCGGGTGCGACCGCATGCGCCCCACCACCAAATGCAACGCCAAGCAATCCACTGGAGCTTCAGAATGCGCCACCTGCAACGCATTCACCTTTTGAACTCTCCGGTCATCCACATCTGGCATTGTCACACAACAATGCCGAACAATCGTTGATGCAAATGCAATTACGTAAGTTTTATTAGCTACTTGATGAACTCCACAAACAACCGCTTCATTCTGCCGCACTCTTATTTGTCCTATCTTCTTGTGCCGCTTTGCACAATTCTTATTATTTCTTTTTCTTTTTTTTTGTATTGTACTCCTTTATATTCCTTCCTGTGATTCTAACGCGTTTAGTATCCTCACTTCCGCATGATACCATGCAAACCATGCAACTGCACTACGGACACGCCCAACATTATCATCACCAACAACATCTACAACATCAACAACAACAACAACACTCGTCATCGCATCCCCATCAACAATTGTCGTCACATTGTAAATCTTTACTGCCCGCAGATGCACATCGCTTTCCCGCTAGCCCACTGGACTTTCAACAGGCTCTGATGTCCGTCGGTCCGCCTAGCTTGAGCGTCGATCCCGCTGCCGCTGCGAATCAGAAACACTTCTGTCATGTTTGTCGTCGTAATTTCAGTTCGAGCTCAGCGCTGCAGATCCATATGCGTACCCATACAGGGGATAAGCCTTTCCAATGTAATGTGTGTCAAAAGGCATTCACCACCAAAGGGAATTTGAAGGTAAGTGTATCAAATGAAGGGGTTGGGTTACTTTAGTTAGAAATAAATGGAAATCTTTGCCGTGGCAGTTATATTTATAGTGCAATCAAGACCCCGGAAATACATATGTGGATACATGGGACTACCCTTCTTTTTCCTAAAACTTACTTCGAATTATTTTTGATCGGCTTTTATTTACGGTTGCCAAGTGATCAAGAAAGAATTCGGCTATAATGACTTACGATGACCAGAAACCCGCTTTTGCGTAGTTCTAGAGTTACTGAAAATTAAAAAAATCTACAAAATTAAAAGTTTAATTCTAAACTTAAATTGTTCTGAATAGCTCTTAAATAGTTCTAAAATTGCTGTAAAGGAAACAAAATTTCTACAAAATTATTAAAAAAATAAGAATGTTTTTGAAAAAATCGAAAAAATTAATGTTTCGGAAAATAAAATATTTAACACCGTTCTGAGTAGCTTCTCAATAGTTCTGGAGTTCTGAAAAATTATGCCCAAAAAAAATAAATTGATTCAAAAAATTCTAAAAATATGTTATGTTTGACAAAAAAAATATTAAAACTGTTCTGAGTAGCGTTTCAATAGTTCTAGGGTTCCTGAAAAGGAAAAAAAAGTTCTGCAAAACTACGCCGAAAAAAATCTTTTTTTCAAAAAATGCGAAAAGTTTAACATTTGATAAAAAAAATAAAACTTTTTTGAGTAGATTTTCAATAGAACAACAAAATTACACCGAAAAAAATGGTTTCAAAAAAGTCGAAGAAATTTGATGTTTGAAAAAAAAATAAAAATTTAAACTGTTCTGATTCGCGTTTCAATAGTTCTAGGGTTATCCACTGAAAATTTCTACAAAATTATGCAGAAAAAAAAATTTTTTCAAAGAGTCGAAAAATTTTTTTGTTTGAAAAAATAAAAATTTAAACAGTTCTGAGTAGCTTTTCAATAGAGTTTCTAAAAAAAAATGACTCCCTTTTTGAAAAAATGTTTGATTCGGCGTAATTTTCCAGAAATTTTTTCTTCCTTTTCAGGATATCTAGAACTATCGAAAAGCTACTTTAGTTTTATTTTTTGTTTGCCGACCTAAAAGTTCATTTAAGTCCCGGATTTGTTTTCATTAATGCTCTAAAATTAAGACCCAAAAATAATGCTAAAAAATATCAAGCAATCTTTGCAATTTCTTTTTTTTACAGTAAAATAAATCTGGTATAATGACTAACATAAATCTGCCAGCATTGAGTCCGACCCCACCAAAACCAACTCATATATTCAATCTGTAGTGCCGGTGCTTCATACATATTTAGCTCTAAAAGTATTCATAGCCATTCAAGCCACTTTCTTTCTTTTCCCTTATTATTTAATATTTCAACAGGTCCACATGGGCACGCATATGTGGACGAATCCCACATCGCGACGTGGTAGACGCATGTCACTTGAGTTACCACTACATCGGCCGGGCAGTATCCCACCGGAGACGGATTTTATGCAACGACGTCCAGAGATATTTTTCCCATATTTGCCGCCATTTTTCAATGGACTGCCGCCTAAGGTAAGATCACAAGAAAGTTAGATTTTACTAGGTCAAGGGAGAGAATTGCGCAGATTATATGATTGCTGTGGATAATGTAGGGCATCAAGAAATAGCATGTATACTGTAACGGTTGTAAAGATGAGGTCTAAATTTCAAGAATATTTGAACAAAATTTGCGTCTAAAGAGCAGATAAATTTTAAAAGGTACTCGAGAAAACGGATCTAGGGACTGTAAAAAAAACTTTGCGTACATACAAATAAAAAAATATTTCTGTACGCACTGAAACATCGGCTCTCGCCCTCATCTGAATTCCAACACCCCACTTATTAGCCTTCTCCATACATTTCTTTCTCCACTTTCTCAACTTAGCCCAGTGAACTGAGCCCTGGCGCCTTTCCCAACCTAACGCCGCCACATTTTCCGAATGGCGCGAATGCTGGTAAATATCCACCTGGACTGCTAGGACTGCCACCATTTCTGGCACCGCCTTATAACTTTGCCGGCATGACGCCACAGCCACACGGCGAGCATGCGCAAGCGGATAGTAAATCACCAACACCACCAACAAGAGAAGACATCAAACGCGGAGAGAGCCCAACGCGTGGCACGGCGCTAGAAGTTACAGCGCCTTGGCATATGCTAGGAAAAATTAAAACGGAGAACAATCAAAATGAAGAACGGCGATCCGTAACGCCGCCGACGATGAGTAGTCAAATGGTGGATGAGAGGCGAGGCGACGCGCAGCGTTTAGTAGAGTGAGATAGATGATATCGGGCGAACTATTTAAAAATAATTTTGAATTTGAAATTAGTTTTAAGCGGATAGTGAAACTGAAAACATGGTTTTTGTGGAGTACATATCGTAAAATGGTAAAAATGCTTAAAAAAATTATTGCTAAACTATGAAAGAACATAAATATTACATATATGATTAAATGATATTTTAATGGAAGTAGTAGACTTAAGTGTCTAAAATAAAATATAAGTATGTAAGCAGAAACAGAAATTATGTAGGCAAAATGCGTAAAATAAGAAGCGTAGAATAGAATTCAAAGCAAGCGTAGTAGAGTTAGGTTCCGAAAAACAACAAAACAAAAAAACAAAACAAAAAAAAAAACAATAATTATTTAGTATGGAACGCATATATGCATTTAAGTGGCATTAAATTAGTGTACAGTTAGAAAGTAATAGCTTTATAAATAGCATTAGAAAGAAAAATAGTTATACATAAATACTTACTAAATATGTAACTAGTATATTCATGAGAGCGTTTAATTTATTTAGTCTAGAAAAAAGTGGCAATTAACGGCAACGATTGAGTGGCTAAGCAAAATTTTACGTCTAGGTACATATGTGCATGTATGTGTATATATTGTGCATATATATGTATGTATGTATGTAAGTGCATGAGACAGGTGTGCAATGTAATGTATTGTAATATAAATCAAATTAATAAATTGAAAACATAAATTATTAACTGCGCTGTATGATTACTGAAGCTTTTTATTAAAAAAAAAAAAAACAAATTACTTAGATCGAACAATTTGGTTAGTAAAAAATAAAGTTGAACGATTACACTGGTTTACAGCAAAAATGTTCCAATGGATGCCACAATGCAATGCCTATGTAGAATCGCCCTCTGCAATTTACCGTTATTCAGCTTAAACTAAAAAATAGTTGCACTTAATCACGTATACATATCTTACGAATCAAATCTAACAATCGTAATATGAAGTACGGCAACTGAAAGCCAACAAAATTCTCCATAAAACGTATATACACCACTTTTCTATAGGCCTGGTGGTTTCTGAGAAATTAATAAATCACTCCAGATTTTTTTTTTTTTTTTGTATGCAAAAATTTAAACAAGTTCAAACTGTAACCGGCGAAAAATAAAAAAATAACGTTTTTTTTGCAAATTTTTTATTTTGTATGAATTCCCGTTGCTTTACAAAAAAGTGAAGCTACCAATGAGGAAAATGGATGGATAAATAAAAAATGAATGAGTGGTAAAATGAAAATGAGCAAGGATGTATTGTATGATATATTAAGGGAAAAGAGAGTTACTCAGGTGTACAAGGCGTATGAGTGACATTCTTTCGTGCTCATTTTTCAAACAAAAAAATCTTTGCGCGTTTTCATTTGACCTTTCATTACTGCGTTATTTATCCATGGATTTTCTTCATTAGTAACTTGATTTTTCTTGTTGAAACACAACTGCAAAAAATTTACACAGAATCTGTATATTTTAAAATTTTTGCTGCTGTTAAAGTTTAATAATTTTTTGTAGTTTTTCATCAAAATACAAAAAAATCTGGAATTATTTTTTTTAAGCTGAATAACGCTAAAGTGAAAAACTTATCCATATAATAAAAAATTAACTCGATTTTCGGAATCAGCGGGCGATTCTAATACATGGGGAATGGATAGGCGCATTCGTAGAGCAAAAAAAAAACACTAATTTGTGATCCAGTGTTATAGGAAATGGGAAACACTTTAACGGGTAGTTTACTGGCTTGGTTTGAATATGACTAGCGGGGTGATTGGAAGAAGGATATATGCAAGTGGTAACACCACAAAAAAACACTCTACGATTCGAAATCACAGCTAAAAATGTTTTGAATGATTTCATTGCACCTACGTATATCCGTAAGCCAATTTGCTTATTTTAAGTTTTTTGGTATGTTGAATAGAAAAATTTCTTCTCATCGATTTTCATTATAAAAATTTAGAGGCAACTGCCGAGCGAGAGTTAACTCACATTGTGAAAACGGCCGCAAGGGTAGCCGCCTTCGTACCGACCATTTAACCAAGATTTTAGATGTGCAAACATACTTAAAGAAAATTTTTGACTGTTTCTAGTGTGTACAAGTGAGTATTTTCAAACTAGTTCACTGCTATTTCAGGGCCATTCCGAAACTAGTTCAGGCTCATTTTTGAACTAGTTTGAAACGTGTTCGATATCATTTCAGCGCAACTTCACGACGTTTTCGACCGTTTGGGGGCCTGTTCAGGACTATTTCAGGTCCACTTCGGGACTAATCCGAAATAATGTTAGGACCATTTTAGGGCCGATTCGCGACAACTTCAGGTCCATTGCGCGATTATTTCGCGACTATTTTAGGACAATTTGAAACCATTTCTGGACTGGGCTCCGGATCATTTATGCATAGTCCACTAGTAGGCTATTTGAGGCCCATTCCGGGACTAGTTCAGGTCTATTTCAGCAACATTTCGGAACTAGTTCGATATCATTTTGACCGCTCTAGGAGCATTTTGACCCAGTTTAGGAGCATTTCGGGACTAGTGAGTGATCATTTGGCGACTAGTAAGGACCCATTTGTAGGACGTTTCAAGTCTGCTTTGAGATCATTTCGTGAAAAGTTCAGAAAAGTCTTTTCAGGACAATTTTGTTACTAAGCTGGGATCATTTCGGGGTAGTTCGAAACTAGTTATTGTTGTTGTTGTTGTAGCAGCGTACAAGTTCCCAAAGGGTTTTTGGGGAGTGTTGCTGGAGTGAAACTATTTAATAAGTTAAATGAATTAGATATTACAATATGGGTATCAATTGAAATGGTTTCGAAAATGCTTTGCTTCTAAATGACACGTAGAAGGGTTGCCACATGTTTAAAAAATCAATCTCACTTTAATTAAGGGAATAAGGCTTCGGAAATATGTATATGTAAAAACATTCCAGAGTTAATTTAAAAGTAAAGTAATTTAAAAGAAATGTAATCAGAAGAAATCACTGATTGACAATGTATGTATTTGTATTGAAATAACAACTACGAAGTCGTAAACCTTTGGTTTGACACGACAATTATTTTAAACCTTACCAATTAAATTTGACCTTACAAACAGGTGGCAACACTCTTTATAATAGTTGCCAGCTAAAACCTTTTTAAACCTCTTTCGTCTGACTCCCATATGGTAATATATATCTATTCAATTACCTAATTCCTTTAAATCAAATGGAATTTGAGTTTTTAAACAGGTGGCAACCCTCTATATGTAGTTAAGAAATCAACACGTTTCATACACATTTCTATTGATACCAATCTCTTAATAATTCATTTAACTTATTAAAAAATTTTAATTTAATTTTTTAACAGGTGGCAACTCTTAAAAAAAATTAACCTCGCTTGTCTACAGGTCAAGCTTTTTCATTTGACACTTCATTTTTGAAAATAGAACGAATCGTGCAGATTTATAGCACTGACAAAAAATTAAAAAATGATTTCATGCATTAGTAAAAAATGCATTACTTCAAAAAATGTAAAGAATGAGCAGGTTAAGAACCCGTATTATTTATTAAATTTTTTTATTAATTTCATTAAACTTTACCATTTTTTGAAATTTCGATAAAAAGAATTGTTTTTTTGGAATACCGCAGGGACACCCTGTGTTTCATTTTATTCCAAAATGTTTGTTTCTGCAGTTCTCTACTATCTATATGGAAATAAAAAACGTGAAACCAACATTTAATTTCAAAGAATGTATTTTTGAAATTTTATTTCCGCGTAGAGCTTACGCATGGCTATGGCTCTTATGAAAATTCTTAGCATAAAATTTGTCGATTTTATTTTATAGGGAAATTTAGGTTGAATTCTTTTTGTGGTGGATAAATTACCTTTAGAAAAATACCAAACACTTTTTTCACATTGCTGAAAGGAATTTTTCGATTTTTGCCCACTTAGGCGGCGCTGTGGGACGTCTGGTCTGGGACACCCTTTATAATTCTTTCTTGTTTCTAATTTTTGTTTTAACATAATCACTGCACACAGAACTTTAAGCAACCACACAAATGCAAACACCCTAATGTAAATCAATAGAGATGACTGGCAAGTGCTGGATCTACCAATTAAACGATAAATATTTGTAATTTAAGAAAATTATGCGGAGATAGTGAAGAAGAATGTGAATAAATAATAAAGAAATGATAATTTATTGTGCAAAATCGAGTAATAATTTGAGTTTCACTTAAACACAACCAGAGTCAGTGGCAAGTAGGTATATACGTAGATAGCAATGGAATGGGCACAAGCTGGGGAGCATAAATCTTGCAACGGACAATCGAATGAAGTTCAATGGATTTATGAGTGGCACGCACCAAGTGGGTAAGTAGCAATATTACTACGCTAACATATGTACACTTACATATTGGATCAAACACATGCTGTAAGTGCCACATGTTGCAATTAACATACGGTATGCAAGTATGTAGCTACATATCTATGCATTTATGTTGCTTGCATTTGTGACACAAATTATAAGTTGCATTACATATGTACATATGTATGTACTCATATGATTGCGCGCCCCATTTGTTGTGTAATGAATATTCCAAAAATTTCGTCTGCACTTTAGCGCGTCTGGCTGCGTACGGCCCAGCGCAAGCACGCGCCCCAACAAACGCCCGCTTTGCTGTGACAATTCATTACGCTATAACGCTATATGTAGTGGGTAGCAAGTTGCCACAGTTGGTTGCATATGTCGCACATACATATGTACATGCCGCCGCATGTAGATCATCTTCAGCAACTATTAAGCGCGACATTCCAAACACTTCATAATGACAATGCTGAGTACACGCGCGCCGCCTTCGCCGCTCGCACTCGCCTTCACCCAACGCGCCGAAACAAAATCTTTGCTTTTGTTACTTTTTTTCTTTCTTTCTTTGTTCTTGTTTTTTTTTTTTGCATCTGCACTCAGCGTATTTGTTAAATATTTTACGCATTTGCCACCCAAAAATCGCGCACCAACACTTCACACCACCAGCTGGCCCAACGCTTCGTCGCGTCGCTGGCACATGCCTCAGCTTTTGTCGCAGCGCTTCATCGTTGCTGCTGCTGCCACTGCCATCGCCACCATTGCCACCATTGCCACCATACCGCATAACAGATGTGCTAAGTGCCGCGGAATTTTATTTAATTTTAATTTTTTCCTGCTTTCTCAGCTCTGCAGAAATTTGTGCGTTTTTATTTTTGGCTTTGCTGTCAGTGGCATTCGCGCTCGTTCCCTTAGTACTACTACTACTACTCTATGTATGTATGTATGTACTTGCTCACCACTGTTTTT